CACACACACACACACACACACACACACACACACACACACACACACACACACACACACACACACACACACACACACACACAGCCCAGCAAACAAACACATAAAAGTACTGTCAAAAGAATCTCCTCAGGCTCCCTCACAGGAAGGCCCCATTAAAGTGTGTGCATTGATTAGAAAAAAAAAAGTCTGCCCTGTGGCTCCTGATAGCCATCTCCTCCCCTCATTGGGTTTCTACTCAAGCTGCAAGCTGGGCAGCTCCAAGTCTATAACTGCACCCCCCAGGGGGAAACACTATAATGGAGTTAAGGAACCTCTTTAAGCTCCAGATAAAGCAAATTTACCCATACTTAATGCCAGATTCCCCATGTTGCTTGTGGGCACATATATATTAGCATGCTGTGTTTTAAATGTGTTTAGTAATGGCAGCACAGTGGCACACTTTGTGTGCTCGTGTGTCTCTGACAGGAAGTAGATTCATTATATTCACTTGGTAGAAAAAGTGGACAAGTAGAGGGATTAATGTGCATTCAAACAACAGAGTGTAAGAGTCTCTCATAAAACATTAAGGTGTAACTCAGCTGGTCTTAGAGAAACACAAATCTGAAAATTCAAGTCCTTTTTATACACAGACTAATCTTGCATTAAGTAAAGGGGGAGGTGTCAGGCAGTTAAAAGAACTTCCCATCCTGAAGACAAAAAAAGTGTTGAATCATTATTAGCATTTCCTCTATGCTGCCAAAGACTGCCATAAACCATGCACTTCCTGATGGCACAATTATTAATGTTGGTAATAAGTAGCATAGGTAACATTTTCAGAGGAGCCTGACTTTAATGAGCTGCCTCACTCACATCTGCCACACAAGCAATACTATGTCTTACATGGGAATTCGACTGAGAGCCTGTCTTTCCCCTTGCAGTTGAAGCAATCTCATCATGACGTTATAATGTAGATAGATGGCTCTGACCTGGCAGACTATGCTCCATAACTGCTAATGGAAGAGAAAAACAATATTTTACTTCTTGTGCAATTCTGCTGGCAGTCCGTCTGAATTACAAGGCTGTGGACCAAGACCGCCTTTGCTTTGTATTGATCTGTCCGAAAGCAGCACATCTAAGACAGTGAGAGAAACAGCGCACCAGATATGCATCATGTTAGTGGTAAAACAATGTCTCTCACCCTTTCACCAGCTCTCTTGAACCTATAATTTCAGTGGCTCTAATCAGCCATAGGATCAGCCTTGATCTCCACTTAACCTGGAAACCTTAATAAATTGCACTCTTTGATTGACACCACATTTGTACACTATACTTTTTCCCAGTGGCCCAATAAGTTTGTGGCTTATCTTTTTTTTTTTTTTGACTTATCATTTTTGAACACAGTCACAGTGTGGAGGAGTCATGAGATTTCCTTTAGCATAGCTAGATTTTCCCATGCGTGAACAAGCATGGGAACCACTTAGTATAAAGTTCTGTCTTCACACTGAGCTAACATTTTAAAATCTGATCCTATTGTCAATGTTTCTCAATAGGAACAACAAACAGGCCAGAGGGAGCAAAACTAGCTCCGGTTAAACACTCAGCGACGGCAGTGTGTGCAGCAGTCCCTCTCCCTGTGAGGGATAAACACTGTGTCGTGTGGCCCGATCTGTTTACGAGTTCGCCTCTGGCCGGCCAGGGTCGCAGAGGTTTTATGTTATTTGTTGGTGTGTGGTGTGTGTGTGAGTGTGTGTGTGTGTGTGTGTGTGTGATGTGAGTGTGCTGAGTGTGTGGTGTGTGTGTGTGTGTGTTGTGTGTGTGTGTGTGGTGTGTGTGTGTGTTGTTCCTGTCGAGAGAGTGTTGGGGAATGTGTGATAGAGGGATTACAGGCGAGCTAGCCGTCGCTTTCATGAGGAAAAAAACAAACACAAGCAGAATGCTAGACCTGCTCAATGCATAGCGTTTATGGTTGGGAAATTAGGTTTTGGAGCTTGGCAGACTGATTCTCTCATCAATGCACAGTGTTGATGAGCTTCAGTCTAGGATGACCAGACAGAACAAATAAAATGTGGGGCAAAAAGTAACCTGTGTACACCCACTGTGGGGGGTTGTTGCTAATAATCAGAGGTTAACAAATAAGTTAACAAATAAACACACATACACAAACAATGCAGGTGTTCTCTTGTTCCCTGGAGACCATCTATCCTCTGTTTCCTTTGTTCTGATTTTCTCTTTTATCTCTTCTTTCCCGGCAGATTTGTCTTTTTTTGTTCACCTGTCATATTCCACCTTTTCCCTGAATGACGCATGTTGAACCCCTCGGAGAGGCGAGCCGAAGTCGTACCAGCCCTCCTGGCAGTGCTCAGCTCTGGCTCCTGATTTTGCAGCTGTTCCCTGGAACCCAACTCGAAGCCGGTTTTACCGCCCTTCTAGGGAACGTGGAGCGGCCTGGGATACATGCTTCTGAACTTACCCACAGGGATGTTTCACAAGAGGCCAGCTGGGAAGTCAGTGGGAGCCAATAGGAAGGTGAGGGGGGTTGAAGGAGAGGGTCAATACCAGAATCCGAAGAGAGTTAAGAGAAAGAATTGGAATGGGTAACGGATGGAGAAAGATTAAAGAAGCTCTGCTTCTGGTTCTGGTTTGTGTGTGAGAAAACCAGAAAAGATGGTGAGTTAGATGACGCACTTTTGATTTTGTTGTCATAAATGTATAATGACAGCTTCATTTTTTCACGTTTTTAAGCCATTTCATAAGCATGCAACAGTCAGCAGGACAACAGCTCACTTCAGAATGCAACCAGAACTTTTCATATGTATCTCCTCTCACTGCGGTGGGATGGTGGCAGGGTGTCACCTCTGAGCAAGAAGGTCCTCGGTTCAAACTCACTGGCACACTGGAGCCCTTCGGTGTGGACTTTACATGCTCGCCACCATGTAAGTGCCCCAACATGGGGTAACTTTTATATGCTTTCACCATGACTTTTACCTCTACAGTAAAAAAAATGTGTACTATAAGCACAATGAAATGGACTGGCCTTTTGTATTCAGTGAAACAAAGCATTTTTTCCCTTTTCTTTGACTCTGAATTCATGCAGACAGGGTTTATGCACGATTTAAAAAACATCACATTGCAACAAACTGAAACTAAAGTACATTCAGCTGGTCAATAAAGAGGGCACGGTTCTACAATGTGGCCCATACTGTACTGATCACAGCTGTGTTATATTGCTGGTGAGAGAGCGACCCCTACTGGAAAGTTATGTCTTTACAATTTTCAAACATTCTGAATTGCTTTGGTGCAATTCTCAAATCCTGTGCATCATCCTACTGTTATGACAATTGTGAAATATCAATTATTTGCGGGGGGGTTAATCAATCCAATTTTTTATGACTTAACCAATCAACTTTTTCCTTAATGGTATGACCTCATTGTTTTGTATTTCTGACCGATTAGTAGTATTAAAAATTCAAATGTTTTGGTCCTCCCAGGGACACCAGTGCATGGGCGTAACTTTGTGCTGAACATTGGGGTGAAAAACTTTCTGAGATGTGAACTTCAGAAATGTGCCAGACATACAGTCCTGTGAAAAAAATCTATTTGCATGTTTATATTTGCCATAGTCATTTCCAATTATGATAACTCCATTCTGTAAATACTCCAGTTATCTTTGTCTAATGTTAAAATTTGCCTGATGATCTGAAGCATGTAATATTGACATTTTTTTATTACCTAAAAAAAGTAATAAAAACTATTTCATTGTAATCATTTGAAGTATATGAGCAGGTGATATTTGCAGGTAACACATGATTGCTTGGGTTTTTGCCCACCTGCAATACCTTCATGGCCCACGAGGGCGCGTAAAGGGGCCTACATTTCGGCTGAAACAGCCAACATGAATATACTTCAGTGCGGTAGGGGGCGGAACATAGCAGTTGCCTTTCATCCGCCACTACACACAAAGAAGAAGAAGAAGGCGCACTAACAGAAAGCGAAGAAGAAAGCGATCACTGTAAGGTGTTTGTTTTCGTGTCATCACTGGTAATCTGCCATCTTTATTTCTTTTAGATTATTGGAATAGCAGATACCAACTTTTATGCATTTATATGAGGTAAGTTGGACATTTGTGAGCTATAGGCACCAACTGACTATCGCTCGTATAATGTAGAATAGTTAAATTCAGGTCCTGTGGACTTGCACGATAGCTACCTGATGCTAGTTATCGTTCTAACGTTGCTGGGGCGTGTTAATGTGCGTGCTAGCTAAAACAGTGCTATCTATCAGTAGTAGTATTGGCGACGCTTAGTTGAATGTCCCTGACCTGTTGGTGATTGTTGTCAACAGTCAGCTATGTAACATTGCAGTAATAACAGTATGGTTGCTTAAATCTAATGGACTTGCGGTGTGTCCTTAAAAATAATCATGCAAAGGTTGCATCCAGCAAAGCCCTGACACAGGGCCTGAGAGAGGTGCAGTAAGTGTCCACATCCATCTATAAAACACGGTGAGGGTTCGGTAATGGTTTTGTGCGGCATTTGAGACACGATGTGTTGTGAGTTTGTCAAAATTGAAGGAAATATAAATGCAAAAAAGTACAGTCAGATTTAGATCCATCGTGCGCTATCATGCTGAAAGGATCTGATTCACAACAGCTTCATTTTTCTGAATTGCAATGATCCCAAACACACTGCAAAGCACTAAAAGCATACCTGAATAGAAAAACACACAAGTATTCTGAAAAGCAGCCAACATCCAGAGAAGAGCTTTAAATGTCCTGTAAGAAACCTGGACAAATGTTCCTGAAAAAGTAAAGAAATGAGAAAAGCTTGGCTAACAGACTTCGAGCTATGTTGAAGAATAAAGATGGTCGTGTCATGTGACCTTAGAAAGCTGTTTATTGTCTTAAATGAATGTATGAACATAACATGTGGTAAACTTTTCTTTCTTATTATTTTATCCAGTGATGGAGCCCGATTACCCTCCAGAAACACTACATACTGAAAGTGATCATGATAGCGTTTGCAACACCTCCTGGGTCTCTGTGTGTCCCCGAGGCCTCTGGAAGGTCCACCAAAAGCGACTAAACAGTCAGCAGACAGCTTCTGATCCAGCAGGTGTAACACGTATGATACTCATTTGTTCCTTGTTATAATGAATGAGTTTTCTTTACTCCAGCTAACAAATGTTTCTTTGTATCTTACAGCAATTTCATCGAATAATTGTCCAAGGTTGGGTTCGCTGTGTAGAGTCCGAGTGCGTCTCAAAGCTAACAATGATGAAGCAGAGAATGTAGCATGTGAAAAAACAGGTGAGAAGCTGCCAGCCCAGCCTGATCCGTTCACCGCTGAACTTACTGAATCTGGTACCACACCCTTTGTGAGGTGTAAAGACTCTGTGCTGCAGGTCCCACTGGGTGACTGGACAACACTGAGGCTGGGGGATGGTCAGTGTGATATCACAGAGGCGTGTTTGGAGGGAATGAGAGCTGGGGAGAAGTGTGAGGTAAGATTTAACTGAGTATTGAAGTCTTTGTTTCGGTATTCTGTTTTTTGATGGATGAGGCAGAAAAAATAAATGTAAACTTCATGAAATAAGAAAAGCTTAAAGTGTATTTGGTGTCACAGAAACAGGAGTATTTGAAAACTTTCTTTACAGTTTGTATTCTGTACTATATGCATTCTGGGCTATCTGTCTCCAAGTCCACTGTATCAAGTCTGGGATCAATCTTAGCTTGCAGTAAATGATAACCAATCAGACGTCAGGGTCAGTTGACGAGCCGCAGTGATGATTTAAATTGTTGCAGCAAAGGAGCCATGAAAAAATGAATTAAATAGACAAATACTTAAATATGTGTAAAATAAAATTAATTGATATTTTAATAAATTGAAATTTAATTAATTATTTCAGCATTAATTAATTTGTGACACATTGGCCCCTTATTGATAGATGTATTTAATTTCTTTAATTTTGGCACTGCTTGACCTCCACAGTGTTTCTTATTTATTTATTTATTCCACACTTGGTCAACAGTTTGCACAGTTAGTTCTTTCAGACAAACCAACCACACTTTCTATCAGTAAAGCACTGCAACCACGTGTGAAAAGCAGCAGGAAGAAGAATATATTCTTATTAAACCCTGCCGCCTATCTACAATCCAACTTATATTGCAAGTGGGCACCAAAAATCAAGGAACAAACTAACATTAACATTTATCTCCGGTCCTAACAACACATTTCCAATCAGAATATACCAGAATAATATATATATAAAATAAACGAGGCAAAAAAATAATGGATCCTTTTTCAATTAACTCCAATTTCATTCACATTCTTCATATTGAGTTATCGTTTTAGACATGTAACACTTTTTAAAACAATGTAAATTTATACAACTCTTTAAATTATAATGAAGAGGCTTCCACAGTCGTATACTCCTAACCGTTGGACTCAATAATCTTTGTGTTGTCCTAGCTAGCTGATGCTTAAAGTAAAATTTCCTTCTGTTGTCTTCTCCCCCCGAACACCTTAAAAATACTCTTTGTATCTTAAATTAATATCTCCAATTTCTCAAATTGATCTCTAATTTCTGGCTGACCATCATTTGATAGCTCATCCTAAAACACACATTTCTCTCAACCTGTGTAAATACTGTTTTGTTTAAATGATCTTTCCCTCCATCTTTCTTGATGAAATCGTGATGGCTAAATGACCGATGCTCTGTCGTGTTTCTCCTTGGTTTTGTTTTTAACTGTCAAACATGTAAAGATGAAAGGTCTTAACATTGTATTTTGCTACCCAGATACAGCTTTCTCCTTTGGAAACTGGACCAGATGCTGCTGCTGTTCCCCGACCCTCAGATGAAAGCCTTTCCTTTTTTGCCACAGTGGAATTGCAAGCTTTCACACCAGGCAAGGAAGCCTGGGAGATGTCTCCTGGTGAAAAATGGGAATGGGTCAAGTCACACAAGGACACGGGCGGGGTGAGATTCAGGAGCGAGGATTTGTGGGGGGCTGCGGACAGCTACAGCAAGGCCATGAAACTAGTCATCACTTTTTGTAATCACGTTAGAGATGTGGCGAAAAAGGGATGGGAGTATGAAGCTGAGGAGCAGAGAGAAGCAACTCTGGAAACACTTGATCCTTCAGCTGAAGAACTCAACAAAATGAAAGCTGACCTCCACTCCAACTTGTCCCTGTGCCAGCTAAAACTGAACCAACCAGAGCGGGCTAAGGCCAATGCTGCTAAAGCCACTCAGCTGGAACCCGGCTGTGCCAAAGCCTGGTACCGGCTGGGGAAAGCATGCCAGATTGTGAATGAATTGGAAGAGGCCAAACAGGCATTTAGGAAACTGCTGGAGCTGCAGCCAGAAATGCCTGCTGCTCTGAAAGCGCTTAAAGATATTGCAAGTAGAGAGAAAGCAACAAATGCACAGCTGGGACTGAGACTAAGCAAAATGTTCAGCTCAAGATAAAATATCAGTAGAGAGAAATGTGTGTTCTCATGATTCCCCATTAAATGTAAGTGCATTAACAACCACTGCCTCGATCTAAAATAAAGCCACTGTGATGTAGA